CAAAGGTATAGATTGTTCTCTAATCTCCTTATTGTCAAAAAAGTTTTAAATCACAATTAAACTGAGGCATTCTCTAATTTCATATTTTCCTTTTCTGTCACATTTAAAGTAAGGATTGCTAAATTATTATGAAATATCTCATATCCCATTTTACAAGAACAGTTTTATTAAATAGAATTTACTAATTGATCATACCCCTGATTTCTTTTCAATAAAGTCTTCTTTCTTTTGAAAGTTAAATTTATACAGATTTGGTTAATAATTAAATCTGTACAAAAGATCCTTAAAAATTTTGTAAACATTAGAGAATAATCTCATTGCTTGAGATCACCTTTATAAATTTATGAAGTAGGATTAATATTCAATTTGGATTATTTCTTTCCAAATTGGATGAAATGTATTTTGTCTCTAAAATAACATGACATATATTATGAGCCATATCTACTCTAATCAATTAAATTGCATTCCTCTATTTCGCAACCTTAACCATTATTTACCACTTTGAAAAAAGAAACTCTCACATTCGATAATTTAATTATGTTTTTCGAGTATTGGATCAAATTGTTTTCTATTAAAGATCAAAATAACTCCTTTATAGTTCTTAACTAATTGGCTAAACATTTATTTTATAATATTTAATATCCCTAAATCTAGTTTAAGCTTAAGAATCTGTCATCTAATTAATTTTACAATTAATGGGATTTTGGTGCAATATAACATTATAATAATTTCTAAAATATCTCAAATTAATATGATTATATTTTGTATTTTTCATAAGATTCAAGAAACTTAATTTTTTATTATGTCTCCTATCTTTAGAAATTAAATAATTTAGAATTGGAATGTATTTTGTAATTATTCTAAACATAAGAGGAAAACAAGCAAATTAAATAGTAAACTTTATGAGAAAAAAATTAAATATTGACTAACTTCAGAATCAAAATTAGTATTTAGATTTCCGAAAAAATCATATATATTATTATTATAATAGATACGCAGTTCATCACTATCTTAACCCTTTTTAGTTAAAAATGATAAATTTTTAATATTAAATTCTAAATAATAATGAAAATAATTCATTTAATTATGATCAAGATGATAAATACTTAGATGCTTCACTTATATTATATCTCATATGATGAATATTTTTGAAATTTATTATCCCAAAATAGTAAATATTAGGCGTTATTGGTGAGAGTTCCAAAAGTCTGTGTAGTTTTAGAATCTAATGATGCAAGAATAATAAATGTGCCATCATTTAATTGTCTGATCAAATAGATATGATGTTTGTGTCTTACCATTATCACATTTCTATCTTTATTATGTATTATTGGAAATAAAATATAATCTTCACATTGGTTATTCTTAATTAAAGAAATAGTTTTATTTGAATCCTATTTAAAAACTCCATTGTATAATTCAAATACTAAAATATCATCCTTTGATTTACTTTAAGTTACCCAAAGAAATTGATAATCATTCAAGAAATGGATTTAATATCCATATAATGAAACATTCTATTTATATTTAAATTCCCATTTCCCTTACAATCCTTTCTCCCATATTATAAATTCTCCATGACCACATGATGCCAATGCAGTTTCAGATTAATTAAAACTCAATGAAAATACTATATTGGTATGTTAATCTAAGGAATACAGAAAAGTCAG